GCAACGAATGGGAGCAACGAATGGGAGCAACGAATGGGAGCAACGAATGGGAGCAACGAATGGGAGCAACGAATGGGAGCAACGAATGGGAGCAACGAATGGGAGCAACGAATGGGAGCAACGAATGGGAGCAACGAATGGGAGCAACGAATGGGAGCAACGAATGGGAGCAACGAATGGGAGCAACGAATGGGAGCAACGAATGGGAGCAACGAATGGGAGCAACGAATGGGAGCAACGAATGGGAGCAACGAATGGGAGCAACGAATGGGAGCAACGAATGGGAGCAACGAATGGGAGCAACGAATGGGAGCAACGAATGGGAGCAACGAATGGGAGCAACGAATGGGAGCAACGAATGGGAGCAACGAATGGGAGCAACGAATGGGAGCAACGAATGGGAGCAACGAATGGGAGCAACGAATGGGAGCAACGAATGGGAGCAACGAATGGGAGCAACGAATGGGAGCAACGAATGGGAGCAACGAATGGGAGCAACGAATGGGAGCAACGAATGGGAGCAACGAATGGGAGCAACGAATGGGAGCAACGAATGGGAGCAACGAATGGGAGCAACGAATGGGAGCAACGAATGGGAGCAACGAATGGGAGCAACGAATGGGAGCAACGAATGGGAGCAACGAATGGGAGCAACGATATGGGAGCAACGAATGGGAGCAACGATATGGGAGCAACGAATGGGAGCAACGAATGGGAGCAACGAATGGGAGCAACGAATGGGAGCAACGAATGGGAGCAACGAATGGGAGCAACGAATGGGAGCAACGATGGGAGCACGAATGGGAGGCAACGATGGGAGCAACGAATGGGAGCAACGAATGGGAGCAACGAATGGGAGCAACGAATGGAGCAACGAATGGGAGCAACGAATGGGAGCAACGAATGGGAGCAACGAATGGGAGCAACGAATGGGACGCAACGAATGGGAGCAACGAATGGGAGCAACGATGGGAGCAACGAATGGGAGCAACGAATGGGAGCCAACGAATGGAGCACGAATGGAGCAACGAATGGGAGCAACGAATGGGAGCAACGAATGGGAGCAACGAATGGGAGCAACGAATGGGAGCAACGAATGGGAGCAACGAATGGGAGCAACGAATGGGAGCAACGAATGGGAGCAACGAATGGGAGCAACGAATGGGAGCACGAATGGGAGCAACGAATGGGAGCAACGAATGGGAGCAACGAATGGGAGCAACGAATGGGAGCCACGAATGGGAGCAACGAATGGGAGCAACGAATGGGAGCAACGAATGGAGCAACGAATGGGAAGCAACGAATGGGAGCAACGAATGGGAGCAACGAATGGGAGCAACGAATGGGAGCAACGAATGGGAGCAACGAATGGGAGCAACGAATGGGAGCAACGAATGGAGCAACGATGGAGCAACGAATGGGAGCAACGAATGGGAGCAACGAATGGGAGCAACGAATGGGAGCAAACGAATGGGAGCAACGAATGGGAGCAACGAATGGGAGCAACGAATGGGAGCAACGAATGGAGCAACGAATGGGAGCAACGAATGGGAGCAACGAATGGGAGCAACGAATGGGAGCAACGAATGGGAGCAACGAATGGGAGCCAACGAATGGGAGCAACGAATGGGAGCAACGAATGGGAGCAACGAATGGGAGCAACGAATGGGAGCAACGAAATGGGAGCAACGAATGGAGCAACGAATGGGAGCAACGAATGGGAGCAACGAATGGGAGCAACGAATGGGAGCAACGAAATGGGAGCAACGAATGGGAGCAACGAATGGGAGCAACGAATGGGAGCAACGAATGGGAGCAACGAATGGGAGCAACGAATGGGAGCAACGAATGGGAGCAACGAATGGGAGCAACGAATGGGAGCAACGAATGGGAGCAACGAATGGGAGCAACGAATGGGAGCAACGAATGGGAGCAACGAATGGGAGCAACGAATGGGAGCAACGAATGGGAGCAACGAATGGGAGCAACGAATGGGAGCAACGAATGGGAGCAACGAATGGGAGCAACGAATGGGAGCAACGAATGGGAGCAACGAATGGGAGCAACGAATGGGAGCAACGAATGGGAGCAACGAATGGGAGCAACGAATGGGAGCAACGAATGGGAGCAACGAATGGGAGCAACGAATGGGAGCAACGAATGGGAGCAACGAATGGGAGCAACGAATGGGAGCAACGAATGGGAGCAACGAATGGGAGCAACGAATGGGAGCAACGAATGGGAGCAACGAATGGGAGCAACGAATGGGAGCAACGAATGGGAGCAACGAATGGGAGCAACGAATGGGAGCAACGAATGGGAGCAACGAATGGGAGCAACGAATGGGAGCAACGAATGGGAGCAACGAATGGGAGCAACGAATGGGAGCAACGAATGGGAGCAACGAATGGGAGCAACGAATGGGAGCAACGAATGGGAGCAACGAATGGGAGCAACGAATGGGAGCAACGAATGGGAGCAACGAATGGGAGCAACGAATGGGAGCAACGAATGGGAGCAACGAATGGGAGCAACGAATGGGAGCAACGAATGGGAGCAACGAATGGGAGCAACGAATGGGAGCAACGAATGGGAGCAACGAATGGGAGCAACGAATGGGAGCAACGAATGGGAGCAACGAATGGGAGCAACGAATGGGAGCAACGAATGGGAGCAACGAATGGGAGCAACGAATGGGAGCAACGAATGGGAGCAACGAATGGGAGCAACGAATGGGAGCAACGAATGGGAGCAACGAATGGGAGCAACGAATGGGAGCAACGAATGGGAGCAACGAATGGGAGCAACGAATGGGAGCAACGAATGGGAGCAACGAATGGGAGCAACGAATGGGAGCAACGAATGGGAGCAACGAATGGGAGCAACGAATGGGAGCAACGAATGGGAGCAACGAATGGGAGCAACGAATGGGAGCAACGAATGGGAGCAACGAATGGGAGCAACGAATGGGAGCAACGAATGGGAGCAACGAATGGGAGCAACGAATGGGAGCAACGAATGGGAGCAACGAATGGGAGCAACGAATGGGAGCAACGAATGGGAGCAACGAATGGGAGCAACGAATGGGAGCAACGAATGGGAGCAACGAATGGGAGCAACGAATGGGAGCAACGAATGGGAGCAACGAATGGGAGCAACGAATGGGAGCAACGAATGGGAGCAACGAATGGGAGCAACGAATGGGAGCAACGAATGGGAGCAACGAATGGGAGCAACGAATGGGAGCAACGAATGGGAGCAACGAATGGGAGCAACGAATGGGAGCAACGAATGGGAGCAACGAATGGGAGCAACGAATGGGAGCAACGAATGGGAGCAACGAATGGGAGCAACGAATGGGAGCAACGAATGGGAGCAACGAATGGGAGCAACGAATGGGAGCAACGAATGGGAGCAACGAATGGGAGCAACGAATGGGAGCAACGAATGGGAGCAACGAATGGGAGCAACGAATGGGAGCAACGAATGGGAGCAACGAATGGGAGCAACGAATGGGAGCAACGAATGGGAGCAACGAATGGGAGCAACGAATGGGAGCAACGAATGGGAGCAACGAATGGGAGCAACGAATGGGAGCAACGAATGGGAGCAACGAATGGGAGCAACGAATGGGAGCAACGAATGGGAGCAACGAATGGGAGCAACGAATGGGAGCAACGAATGGGAGCAACGAATGGGAGCAACGAATGGGAGCAACGAATGGGAGCAACGAATGGGAGCAACGAATGGGAGCAACGAATGGGAGCAACGAATGGGAGCAACGAATGGGAGCAACGAATGGGAGCAACGAATGGGAGCAACGAATGGGAGCAACGAAGGGAGTGGGGAATGGAAGGGGAATGGAAGGGGAATGGAAGGGGAATGGAAGGGGAATGGAAGGGGAATCAAGAAGGAAAGACGTCCGCGTGCGCACACACGAGCTTGTGTAGGATTGCCACCACGCCTGCAAGGAGGAAGGAACGGAGTGGGGAGGGCGGTCAGAGCTGCCCCCCACGCACAGCTGTGGGGAGGGCGGTCAGAGCTGCCCCCGTACGCACCCCTCGCCCTTCACCCACCTGGGTCGAGCGTGCGTTGACTGCGGGCATGAGCTCATCAATCATCATGGTGCCCTTCCCATTCACATCCCCATTCCCATCCCCATCCCCATCCCCGTCCCCGTCCCCATCCCCATTCCCATTCCCATCCCCATCCCCATCCCCATCCCCATTCTCATACCCATCCCCATCCCCATCCCCATCCCATCCCCATCCCCATTCCCATTCCCATTCCCATTCCCATTCCCATTCCCATTCCCATTCCCATCCCCATCCCCATCCCCATCCCCATTCCCATCCCATCCCCATCCCCATCCACATCCCCATCCCCATCCCCATCCCCATCCCCATCCCCATTCCCATTCCCACCCCCATTCCCATCCCCATCCCCATCCCCATCCCCATCCCCATCCCCATCCCCATCCCCATCCCCATCCCCATCCCCATCCCCATCCCCATCCCCATCCCCATTCCCATTCCCATTCCCATTCCCATCCCCATCCCCATTCCCATTCCCATTCCCATTCCCATTCCCATTCCCATTCCCATCCCCATCCCCATCCCCATCCCCATCCCCATCCCCATCCCCATCCCCATCCCCATTCCCATTCCCATCCCCATTCCCATCCCCATTCCCATACCCATCCCCATTCCCATTCCCATTCCCATTCCCATCCCCATTCCCATTCCCATTCCCATCCCCATCCCCATTCCCATTCCCATTCACATGAACACCATTGCTGACGGACTTCATACCTAACCCATACTCACCTGGGTCGAGCGTGTTCCCCGTACCACTGCACCATCTCACCTGCGTACCTGACGAGGGATCTTCACATCTTCACATCCACTGCCGGCACGATTTCGCAGGCGGTGCAGCGCAGCAGCTGACGACTGCAGCACGCGGCTGTCCCCCCCATGCCACTGTGCCATCTCACCTGCGGCTTAGCAGGGCGTCTCAGATCTGCCCTTCACCCACCTGGGTCGAGCGCGTTCACTGCCGGCATGAGCTCGCCAATCATCTTGCAGAGTAAAGAAGGTCCCGTGCACGTTTCTTCTCAGGCGGTGCAGCGCAGCAGCCGACAGCTGCAGCATGCAGGAGTCCCCGTCGTACCGCTGCACCATCTCACCTGCCTGGTCTGGTCCTCATCGCACCCCCACACCACTGCACCATCCCACCTGGGTACCTGACGAGGGCACTTCACATCCACCTGCACCCACCTGGGTCGAGCTCGTTCACTTCGGGCATGATCTCATCGATCATCACGGTCCCGGAAACATTCGCGCGCAGGCGGTGCAGCGCAGCAGAGGAGGACTGCAGCACGCGCGAGTCCCCATCGTACCACTGCACCATCTCCGTCCACGAGTCGGACCGTGCCGGGGCGGCAGACTCATTGAACGGCACGTCTGCTGCAATGAAAACCGATGGCCCGCTGCCAGTGGCCGTGCTGCTGTTGCCACCGCTGCTGCTGCCAGTGGGGGTGGTGCTGTTGCCACCGGCAGAGGAGTGGGAGGGGGAGTCACGGACGGTGGTGATGAGGCGCTCTGCCTCCCCCACACACCAGTCCAGCCGCTGCTGCACCATGCTCGCATTCGCCTTGCCTCCCTGACTCACCATGTCCTCTTGCTGCACAAGATGGCACAGGGAGAGAGGGGGAAACTGCTTTTTAATTCAGCGATTCAGAGGGGAGTAGGGCTTCTGCTGACATGCAACGCTCCTGCCAAGGCCTAGGCCTTGCTATCCCGACTCTCCATATTCTCTTGCTACCACACGACTAGGGAAGAGGGGCGGGTGTGGCGTCACGAAAATGGTTGAGAGTACTCAGGAAGAGTTGCCTCACCCCGTTACCTGCCTAGTCTTCCTGCCCCCCCGGTCCCTTTCTCTTCTCCTTTCTCCCCTCTCCCTTCTGTCCCCCTCCCATCTCATCGCTTGGAGCACCCAGAATGCAGAGCCTGGCACATAGCAAACATAGCCAGGGCGGGACGGCGAGCACCCAAGAAGATTGCAGCATGCAAGGGAATTCGCATACAAGAGCTCAGCATGCAAGGGCCCGGGACGCCCCGCCAGCCGGCACACAGCAGCGATCACACGGCGTTCCTTCCCCCACTCTCTGCCCCCTCTCTCACTCTCTGCCCCCTCTCTCACTCTCTCGTTGCTTCTCATCTCTCACCTCGTGCCCCTCCTTCTCATTCCCCCACTGTGCTAACTCACCACTCTGAACGCGATGAACTCGGAGCGGAAGTGAACGGCAATGAGGGGGCGAGGCAGACGAGCTAGCAGGCGCTCAGCCATGGCATGCAGGCTCTTTTGGTACGGCAGCATGGTCAGCGCAATGTCGTCCGTGTGAGGTTGAAACTTGACTCGCTCCCACGTTGTCTTGAACCACACCACCACGTCCCTGCTGCTCCTGGTGTGTGGTGGAGTGGGATATAGAGTGGTACGAGCGGGTATGGGTATGGGTATGGGTATGGGTATGGGTATGGGTATGGGTATGGGTATGGGTATGGGTACACGGTACATGTATGTGAGTGGTGGTCCGTCTTGGGGTGGAAGTGCACTTGCTCTCACATGGTCTTGAACCACACCACCACGTCCCTGCTGCTCCTGGTGTGGGCATGTGGGGGCGTGGGCGTGGAGTGGGACATGGAGTGGGATATGGAGTGGGACATGGAGTGGGACATGGAGTGGGACATGGAGTGGGATATGGAGTGGGACATGGAGTGGGATATGGAGTGGGATATGGGTCGCATGGCAAGGCCGGGGTGCCGCCCCCATGTGGTCTTGAACCACAGCACCACGTCCCTGTGGCTCCTGATGTGTGGAGTGGGGGTATGGGTATCGATACGGCTTCACACAAGAGCGGCAAGAGGAGAAGATCCGTGGTCCACACAGGTTATCCCAGGAGGAGCCTTTGCATGCTAGCGTGTTGAAACACTAGCAAGCCCATCCAATCCCATCCCATCCCATCGCATCGCATCCAATCGCCACACACCGCACTGCACACACATACCACACGTTGAGCAAGAGAGCCATTGTGTCGTCCCAGGCAGGCATCTTCACGTCCAGAGTGAATAGGGGCAACACGCACCACTCCCTCCCATCCCCTCCCATCCCATCCCATCCCATCCCATCCCATCCCATCCCACCTCATGCCATCACACCACACCGCACTGCACACACACGTACCACGCCTTGAGTGTGAGGGCCATGGTGTCGTCCCGAGCAGGCATCTTGACGTCCAGCGTGTTGGCCTCCAGAGGCACATGGCCCATGGCGAATGGTAGCAGCTGCCCCAGGAACTCAGATGCCAATTCTGAAGGGGGGACAGGAGAGGCAGCACATGCAAGCACGAGGAAGCAAGAGGAGAGTGAAGGCGTAAACGTGTTGGCCTCCCGCGGCACATGCCCCATCCATGGCATGGTAGCAGCTGCCCGAGAAGCTCCGAGGCTAGCTCTGACGAGGGGAGGGCGCACAAGGGAAGCAAAGGTGCATAAGCATAGGTTTAGGGCGATTGCACCCACATGAAGCCCACGGAGGGGTTGAGAAGGGAAGGAGTGTGTGTGTGAGTGAGTATGCATGAGAGAGTGTGAGACAGGAAGGGGTGAGCGTACCGTAGTGGAAGGCAGTGCGTTGGAGGTAGGGCGACTGCACCCACATGAATCCCACGGACGCCTTCGGAAGGGCAGCGCGGGCGAGCAGCAGGAAGAGCTGCGGCGACACCCACTCTGCTGTGGCGGCCAGCTTGGTGAGGTCCCAGTACGCGCAGAGGGGCAGAGATCGGCCGAGGGAGAGGTGGCTGCGACTGGCCTGTGGTGCGGTGGAATGGGTTGGAATGGGGTGGGATGCGGTACAGGGGGGAAACGGATAGTGGCTCATCAGCAGACACCCACTCCGCCGTGGCGGCCAGCTTGGTGAGGTCCCAGTAGGCGCAGAGGGGCAGGGAGCGGCCGAGTGAGAGAGAGATGGCTGCGACTGGCCTGTTGTGGAATGCATGAGGGCCAGGTTAGGAAGGAGACGAATTTGCATGTGATGTCGTGCATTGTATGACGTGGCACTGGCAGAGGGTGTGACATGGCCGAGACAGATAGATGGACAGAGCAAGGGCGAGGTCAAAAGGTCACAGATAGAAAGTGACCATGGCTTCCTTTTGACCCCTCGCCCTCACTTCCTCGTGCTCTCTCACTCTCAGTCTAATCACTCCATCACTCTGTCCCTCCCCCACCCACCTTGGGCAGCACGAGGATGCGGTTGGACATTTGAGCCAGGCGCGCCGCCTCTATGATGTGCGTGCGCGCGTTGCTCAGCTGCTCCTCCGACATGGCGAACACCAGGTACTTGCGCCGGGGGAAGTCCTACAAGGGGGGAGGCGGAAGAGGGGAGGGAGAGGGGGAAGGGGGGAAGGGGAAGGGGGGAAGGGGAAGGGGGAAGGGGAAGAGGGGAAGGGGAGATACATGACATGGCATGGCGAACACCAGGTACTTGCGCCGGGGAATTCCTGATGGGAGGGGGTGGAAGGTGCGGCGGAAGGGGAGCGAGGGGAGGGGAGAAGGGGGAGGGGAGAGACATGACATGGCTAACACCAGGTACTTGCGGCACGGGGGAGGTTGGGGGAGAGGGGAGTGGGGAGAGAGGGGAGTGGGGGGAGGGCGGAAAAAGGGAAAGGCAAATTACGGGGCCTAAAAAATGCTCCTGTGACATAGTTAAGAGCAGGTAGTTGCAATCATCAGAGAGCATGGAGAAGCATGATGTACAAAGAATGGCGAAGGGCATGTGAGGCATGATGCTTACAGAGAGCATGGCGAAGGGCATGTGCGGCACAGGCCAGCACGCTTCAGGCCAGTCACTGCATGCTGACGTGGCAGCGCCACTGCCGTTTCGAATGCTCGCCAGCAGCCCGTCCTCCACCTCCCGCGCGCGCGCACACACAGCGTCAATCCCGGCGGTGATATTCTCCATGCGAGTCTGGTTGTCCGCCAGCATCTGTCGGACGTACGTGCTGCTCGTCAGTCGCGCCAGCACGCCGCGTTTCCACCCCTCCGTGCAGATCTGCCCCACGCCACCCGACTGTTGCCTCTCCACCTCTTCCTCTGGTAGCGGGTCGGCTTTGAGCGGATCGCTCGGGAATTGCTGAGTTCCTGACGCGCTTGGATTTGTCCGCCATACGAACGCGTTCTTTAAGGACGTGAATGAGCTAGGCTTGCAGCTGGAGCGGACTGCAGGGTCGCTGCTGCTGCAGTTACCCTGTAACTCCCGTTCTCTCGCGAGTTGAGCCCACTGTTGCAATGCGTTACAGAGGCTGGCGTTACAACTCGTAACCTTAGGCATTACATCCTGTACAGTGTCGTTTTTACTCGGAGCATAAACGTATTGTCTATCGGAGTGACTGCGAAGGACGTCCACGCATGAATCTGAGAAATTGAACTTTGTCCGTTTTATCTCGACGGAAGCGAGCCAGGCGATGTCCCGATCCTCGATATGAGTGTCTCCAACAAATTCAATAACAGCCGCATGAGGTCGACTGAAGGAGACGGGAAAATCCACATAAAACAGAGCCTCGCATGTTAGAATAACTGCTAAGGCGATAACGACGGGAGTTGGTATCGACAAGCACCAAGCCGGCCGCTTTAGTAAAGGCTGGCAAAGGAGAGGTAGCTCTAATGTGGACGACGGCTCATCCCCGTCGCTTCTAATGTCGTCTTGAGCTCGCATGATCACGATTCGCAAGCCGCGATTGTTTGCAAGAGCTGTGAAAAGAAAGCTTAAAACCCGCAGGCCAAGAATTGGGACTTCCTAACACGCGGGAAGCACTCGAGAACTGAACGCGTCAAGGAAGCCGTGCGATTGCTCTCCTTTCGTTCTAATCCACGGTAGGAAGATGCAGCGCGTCTCGAAAGTGACACTACTGGGTTCATTCTTGTCTAAAACGGGAGGAATGTTCGTGGTGAGTGTCAGACAGACAGGCGTTGGCCCTGTTCGGCAGGAGCATCAGCCAGATGGGGAGAGGCGAATGGATGATGCGGACATTGAAAAATTCCTTTTCCTTACTTCGCGTCCCTGCTCAGCGCGTACACCACTGTTCCCGCCAACAGCACCCCACAATAATCCGTTACCACTCGCGACATTCGCCTCGACACCATTCCCGCCACTGTTCACGATGCGACCCAACCTCACGGTTCGGTTGGTAACCTGCGCTCCGGACTTCCGCCTCGACATTCCCCAACCTCGGCATCAGGCCCGTCGCGCACCCCATTTTCCCACACGTTACTGTTACCACTGTAGCTTCGCTATATATTCTTCGCTCATTGTATCTTGTCTCGATAGTGCAATCCTCGCTCGCTCACTACATTGCACTCGTAACACTTGGTTATCAGAGCCTACGATCTTCTCTCGGACCGCACCCCCACCTTCGCTTCCCCACTATCTCAATTTTTGGGGGGGGTAGATGTCTCTTAGCGACCAAGCACCGCCGCTCGTAGTGCTCTCTCGTAAGCACGCACGGCCACGACAGAGGCTCTCGCTGAGCTCGCCCGACACCCCCGCCATAGCTGAAATCACTCTCGTGACACTGACGCAAGCGCAGCTCGACCGTCTCATACGCCAACTCGAAGATTCGGCCCTCGAAATCGCCACACGGCGGAACGCGACTCCGCTCGCCAGCAAACGACAGTGAATGCACCAGCACCAACCAATGCACCTGCACAGTCCGAGGAGCCGATCATCATCTCGTCAGGTACAGAACGACAGCGTGGGACAGCGCTCAGGCGGAGCCAGTGAGGGCGCCGCTCACTCAATGCCTGGCATGGAGAGAATCAGGGCCGCACCAAGCCCGCGGGAGCCTCGCGAAGCCCGTCGGCACGTGGAATTTGCAGCGACAAGTGGCGAGTACGCCGTCACGGCACCAATGCCACTCAAGCCGCAGCGTCCGCCCTGTTTCGACCCGAGCCAACGTGGAGGTCCGACTGTTCAATCGTGGGTCTTCACGATGAACGTTTTTTTCGACGCGAACAACGTTGAGTCGGACGCAGCGAAGATTCGCTACGCTGTTTCGCTACTGAGGGGCCCCGCCATGGACTGGTAGCGAGTCATCGTGACGTCGCCACGCGCCTACGAGCCACCGTCGCAAGAAGATGTCAAAATGTTGTATAGCTTATATTGTGTAGGCTATAGTGGGGTAGCCCATAAGGGGTACAACCCAATTAGGGTTAGTACTTGTACCCAACTCTTTGCTAGTTCATTCATTCTCGTTCATTCTTCTGACATGGTTTTAGAGCAGGTCCTCCGCTAGGACCGTTTTTTTTCCTTGGGCCCACCACAGCGCTACCCCGCTAGCCGCCCTTTGCAGCCCTCGCGCTGCCCCTACTGCCTGTCGCGACCGTTAGGCCCGTAGGCCCATCGCCACTAGCCTATTGCCTCGGCCCGTCGCCCTAGGCCCGTCGCCCGTCGCCCGTCGCCCGTCGCCACCTAGGCCCGTCGCCCGTCGCCCCGCGGCCCGTCGCCCGTCGACCCCCCCTACGCCCGGCCCGTAGCTCTTCGCCTCACGGCCCGTCGCCCTTAGGCCCCCCGAGGCCCGTCGTTCCTGGCCTCGCGGCCCGTCGCCCCTAGGCCCCCGGCCCCTCGGCCCGTTGTTCCTGGCCCTGCGACCCGTTGCCCCTAGGCCCCGCGGCCCGTCGCCCCTAGGCCCCCAGCCCCTCGGCCCTTTGGTTCTGGCCCCGCGGCCCGTCGCCCCTAGGCCCCCGGCCCCTCGGCCCGTTCCTCCAGGCCCCGCGGCCCGTCGCCCCCGGCCCCTCAGCCCTTTGTTCCTGGCCCCGCGGCCCGTCGCTCCTAGGCCCCCGGCCCCTTGGCCCGTTACTCCAGGCCCCGCGGCCCGTCGCCCCTAGGCCCCCGGCCCCTCACACCTGGCCCCGCGGTCCGTCGCCCTTAGGCCCGCCCGAGGCCCGCCGATCCTGGCCCCGCGGCCCGTCGTCCCTAGGCCCCCGGCCCCTCGGCCCTTCGTCTCTGGCCCCGCGGCCCGTTGCCCCTAGGCCCCCGGCCCTTCTTGGCCCGTCGTTCCTGGCCCCGCGGCCGGTCGCCCCTAGGCCCCCGGCCCCTCGGCCCGTCTCTCCTGGCCCCGCGGCCCGTTGCCCCTAGGACCCCGGCCCCTCAGCCCGTTGCTCCTAGGCCACGCGGCCCGTCACCCCTAGGCCCCCGGCCCTTTGGCCCGTCGTTCCTAGCCCCGCGGCCCGTCGCCCCTAGGCCCCCGGCCCCTCGGCCCGTCTCTCCTGGCCCCGTGGCCCTTCGCCCCTAGGCCCCTCGGCCCGTCGCCCCTAGGCCCCTGGCCCGTCACTCCCGGCCCCTGCAGCTCGTCGCTCCTGGCCCTGCGGCCCTTCTTGTAGCCCGCGTTCTCCCCCCCCCCTCTGCGCTGCCCGGCTTCTGCCCGCCCTGCATGCTGAGCCACTATGGATTCTCTCCGCGTGCTAGCGTTTGATCATGAGGGACGCCCCCTGCAGTTTGACACGTGGCTCGACGACCTGCAGCTGTACCTGCTGAGCGACTCTGGGGACAGTATTTTGTTGTTTGACCACACGTCAGGCGCTGCTCCCGCCCCTCCCGCCACAGCTGACAGTGCGACTCGCTCACAGTGGCTTACTCGTGACGCTGCTGCTCGCTTAGCCATTCGCAACCACCTTTCGTTGGCCGAATGCGCCCACTTCGGACAGCACAAGACAGCACAGGCACTGTACGACGCTGTAGTGGCCCGTTACTCCTCGCCTGCCACTGCTGCTCTAGGCCACCTCCTACTGCCCTACCTGTTCCCCGAGCTGTCTGCCTTTGCCACAGTAGAGGACCTGGTTTCCCACCTTCGCACTAGCGACGCTCGCTACCGCGCTGCCGCCCTAGCTGAGTTCCCTGACAGGAACCAGCCCCCGATGTTCATCACTCTCTACTTTATAGTCACTCGCCTCCCTGACTCTCTTCGTCTGTTAAGGACCACTTTCTCTCCCTCGAGCCCACAGTCCTCACTATTGACCTACTCGAGCAGCACCTCCTTGCAGCTGAGACTAGGGTAGTCGCTGTAGGTGCTGCTCGTGGCACTCCGCGCACGGCCTTCTTTGAGGGGTGTTCCCCCTCCCCCCTTGCCCCCTCCTTTGCCTCTGCTGCTGCTGTCGACGTCCCTAGTGCTGAGGACGTTGGGGCTGCTTCTACTAGCGCGAAGCGCCGCAGCAGCAAGGGCAAGGGTGGCAGGGGTGGTGGTGGTGGCAGCGGGAGTGGTGGTGGGGGCAGCAGTGGAGGTGGTGGACGCAGTGGAGGTGGTGGTAGCGGTGGGAGTGGTGGCGGGAGTGGGGGCTTTGGTGGCGGCGGTGGAGGCAGCGGTGGGAGTGGCGGTAGTGGCAGCGGTGGGAGTGGTGGCGGTAGGACTGGAGCTCCGCGTGGAGGTTCTAGTGGAGGCGAAAGGCAGCGGCAGCAGCGTCGGAGTGAGACCCCGTCGCCCCAGCAGCTTCGTGAGTGGTTGTTTCAGCGTGGGGCGTCTGGGGGTAGTGTGAGTTGCCCGTATGTCATTCGCACGGGTGACCGTGCTGGTCAGACATGCGGGAAGGCCCACACGCAGCACCGCTGCTTCTCCCGTCTCGACGACGCTTGGCGCGCCGAGTTTGGTGACGGGGTCGAGCGCCCCCACTGGGCAGAGCTGTTTAGGTCTGGTGTTGCGATCTTTGACCTAGAGTATGATGCTATTCTTTCTGCTTGTATGCTTTTTCTGTTAGTGCTGAGGGTGACTGTTACCGGTGTGTGCCGCCTGACCCAGGTACAGATGCTGCTGCTCTAGGTGCTAGTGAGTCTTCTCTCCCTGGTACTGCGCCTGCACCTTCACGCTGGACTCAGGTGCCTCACGCTGTTTCTTTTGTGATAGCACCACTCTCACTCCTCTCCCTGCACCAGTCCCGGCCCGACTGGCTGACCCCTCCGGGGGCCCGATCGTTGCCCGTTCCTCCACTGTTCTCCTGTGTCCGGCGGTTCCGTCCGGCTCACTGTCAGGTCTTCACCTCCCCTCGTTCTTTACGAACTTGGTGAGTACCGCTGCCCTCTAGGATGTGATGGTCACTACCACCACTCCTGGGGGTCAGCGTGTGTCGATCTGCACGTGCACACGGACGGGTCGTCACCTGGCCACATTCACTCGTCGGCCAGGGTCGAGTCTGTACACACAGGCTACCGAGCCTCCTCCGGTAGCTGCGTCTGCTCAGGTGTCCGCGTCAGGTCAGGTAGCACCCCCTTGCTCATGTCGCCTTCTGTCGCACCAGACTCTTTTGTAGCACCACTGCCTGGGTCACCCCTCCCTGCCACGCCTT